GTCCTGCTACCATAAAAAAAATACAACTCCGCTGACCAGCATTCTGTTAAGCGTCTTGGTCTTTCCTTTTGATTTAAGAAGGGACATTAAAATTTCACACAAAAGTCCTTCCCTGTGCTACCAATCTATCTCAAAACCTGAACTCATCTATAGAGCTGGGCTCGCTCCTCCATTGCAACAACTGTACCTGGGGGTTTTTGTGCTGGAAAAGTTAAACTCCGTTGATCAGTCTGTGTTTCTGGTTCTTATGCTGCAGGACTTGGATGTGGCCCAAAGGGAAAATTTGAGTATCTTTTCTTAGTCAAGTTGCTTTTACTGCCACAAACATAGTTTGACATTAGGCTTCGAAAACATTTTATCTGAGATTTTTTTATGATAGCATTTACTATAGTGCTTTTAATTGAATACCCAGGGAACCAAAGTCTAATGCTTTAAACTACGTCACGACATCCCTTTTATTTGTAAATCCAGCGTGAAGGCAGGTTTATTACCTTGCTGGAAGGAACAGTAGGAAGGTCAGGTGATGCGAAGAGAAGAGACTGCCGGGAGGAGCCGCAGCAGTAAGGCAGCAGCAGGCTGATCCCACACAGGGAACACTCCTATATAGGCTGCAGGATTTCCCCCGTCTAAAATACATTATTCAATAACAAGCACTGTAAAACATGCAAAGCTTTCAAGGTTTTACGTCGACCTGTACTTACAGTGATTATTACACTGAACCCCATTTTCTTTACTGATTTCCTAACTACTTAATGCCCTCTTGCAAACCTGTGGAGGTTGTTCCATCAAGTTGCACCTAGTAGCTCATAGCATATGTTAAAAAGAAAGACATGCAGTTAAAAGAATTTATTTTCTTAAAAAGGAATAGAATAAAAGTAGCCCAAGAAAAGTGCTGATCTGTTAAAATACAACTAAGGCACTGAACAGAGTTGTAAACTTCCAAGTCATCACGCAAGATGCCTACACTGTCCAATACGAGTCTGGAGCCACAGAGATCTTTGTGGTCACCATACATCCCAACTTGGTCAATCTCGGCTCGGCTCCCTCCCGCTGGGACAGCGACGGCCAAGCAGGCGTGTTTCCTGCAGGACTACTCGGGAAACGGCAGCTTCTTGCATTCCCAAAGTAGACTCACGAGAGGTGTAAGTAAAAAACCGAACCCATGCACGACAGAGGATGCTTGTAAAATGCAAAAGGAAGAACAGACTGGAACCACAGTCGGGGTCAGTGGCTGTTTTAGAAAATGAAACAGCCTTTCCAAGCACCAGCTGCAGCAGGTTGAAAAGCCTGTGGGCGCTCAGAGCAAGCCAGCAGATCACAGCCTGCTGCTCCCTCATCATCTTCTCCTTCCCCCTCTTAAGCAGCCTTGTCAGCCTAGAAAAATTACACCAATCAAAGTCAAGGTGTGAACGGAATTGATCCAATTATGCCAGCAAAACCTCTTTGCTCTTATTTGAGGCAAGAATGACTTTTTAAGTTTAGTTTGTATCTAGCAACAATCTTTAAATTGGATTATACTGGGGGATCTGTCTCAGACTGGGATGAATGTGTGTGCCTGAGGATTACACTGCTGTAACTTCTTTCACGTCTAGACAAGGCTTGAGTTAATACAGAGCGGACAGACCCCGCTCCCTGTACTCGCCTCCCCAGGGCACGCAGCTTGAAACCATTTTACACTGCGTCCCGAGATTTAGAAAAATGGCAGAAATTCTTCTTGCAGAACAAGAGATGGAAGCAGACAGCAATGGGCCACTGCCCGAATCGGTGCTGATGTACAAGTCAACCCAGGGAATGAGATTATCCCTGCTACAGCGTCTGGGGATGCAACGGGAGAAGCCAACCCATGTTTGCTGGTCTGCACGCATGCAGATGGCAGTGGGAACGTGCACGCGCCGGGGGGTGTTTCCTGGGCTACAGCCACCGCCAACGCGCGCTGCAGTACGCACATGGGAGTCAGTTTTGTGTAATTGTTTTGAGATTTCAGTTTCAGATTATAAAAATGGACTTCAGTACTTAAATCCTCTTCGCCACTGGATGTCTAAGCAGTGATGCATAATTAGAAAGCAGGCGTCACTGCTCCCCAGTAAATTTAAGATGAGCAAAACGGAGACCAAGATACGCTGCAGCTCTTGCTAACTCACGCACGCTAATCCTGCTTTGGAGGATGCCATGCTCTGCTGGACAGGGAAGGAAACGTTTCTGTTACGACGTGATTAAGTCTGCAACTCTCTTTTTTTTATCATTACCAAAGAAATCACTGCCCGCTCCTTGGAAAAAGACACTGTCTCAACAGGCAATTATTTCTGATCTTTCCCAACAGCATGCCAGGTTCCTTGGCGAGGTAGAGGGGAAAGGGGAAAGTAGTAGTATAGTCAAATGGAGAGAAGAAAGGCTGAGGACCCCAGCTCACAAAACAGTTGTCCCACCTATTTTGTTAATATTGCTTCATCTTAAAAAGGCCTTTGGATTAAAAGTGAATTCAGTGCTTTTCCATCAAAAAGATACATAGATCTGTTACCTGACCAAGACGCAGTATGGCCCCCCACCCGCCCCGAACAGCGACAACATGGGACGTGATTAGTGAACCTGATGTTCTTTGTTTTGGAAGAGAAATAACATACAGATCCTGGATGTGATGCGGACATATTGCGATACATCAAAATGCAGATTGGCGTGTGCTTCGTTAGCCAGCCTGTCGTCAATTCTTGTTGAGAACAGAGTACCATTTTGTAACTGCTTTGATTTCGATTAATCATTAAGTGAATGAATTCGTCAACACCGAGAGTGAGGATGAGCATCACTAGCTGTGTCCCACGATCAGGTACGAAGGGTGCGGTGCAGCCCCCTTCCCCAGCCCCGCGCACCCCTGCCAGTCCTCCCCAGCCCCAGCGCAGCCCCAGACCTCAACTGAGCAAAATCCAAGCTGAGTCAAGCCTGATTTGGTATTCTAAACCATGAAGAGACACCCACAGCGGGCTAACGGTGAGGCCCAACAAGACACTTGTTTTCCTTTCCCTATACTTAGCTAAATATAAAATCTTCTATAGAAATTAGAGACATCTGACTATCGTGGAGGTTTGAATGAGCACAGTAAGCTTCCTAGAAAACAGCAGGACCGAGGGTGACACTTAGTGCACGTCACTTGCATCATGTGCCGTAACAGCTGATGGTAACTGCGGGATGGCGCTTTCCAGCTCACTCGAAATGCCTCATAAAAAAGCAGGTTTCTGCCAAGTCCTGACAGTCCAGAAATGAAATGCAGTTCAGCACATATTTGTGATCTCTGCTTTAAATGGTTCCTGGGACTACCGATAATCACGGTCACTGAGTTGTTTTAGTGATTTAAATTCTTGAATCCTATGGTTAGTACAGTTGCCTTTTTCAGTATTTACCAGTAGCAAATTGACACTACCTTCCTTAAAACAAGGTTACTGCAACTGGCTCCTTGAAGAGGAGAGGATATGCAAATCAAAAACACCAGCCAATATTGCACAACCCAGTATGCCTTCTGGAAACTGCCAGGTCACAAGTGAAAGGCAATTGCTTGAAAGGCTGGTACAACGTTAATGCCTTCCAATTCTGAAAAATTTGAACTGAATTTACAGCAACAAAGTGAGCCCGTTCAGGGGTTCCTGCTTCGGTGCTCTGTGATCAGTCAGTACGAACGTTTAGTTTCTTGATTATGCAGTTCTTCTCTTTGTCCAGAGAAAACCAACAGGCTAAGGTTTTGCCAGGGGTTCGTTCCCCCACCTAGAGCAGAGCTCAGCAAACATGCTGGATAGCAGGCTGGGGTTAATGAAACTGCAGTACAAGTCAAACACTATCTCCTAAAAGATTGAAAAAATATTTTTAAACAAAATAATGTGACATATTTACATAATTCCTTAAGTGCAAACTCTTGTCACAATTCACGTAGTTGAGCTCAATTTAGACTCACTGTACAAGAAGGTGCTCTTTCTTTAATGAAAGAAGAACTCTACTCTGTATTCCTGATTCAGCAACGTGTCTCTTGTGCAAGGCATTTCCTGTTTCTTCCCAATGTACTTCCAAAAGCAAAACCAAAACCAAGCCATCCTCTTCCCCGCTTCCCGTCCCGGTTACCGCACGACGAGGCAGGAGACACAGAGCTTAGAGGGGCCAATGCAATCATCATGGCAGAAGGCACCGCAGCCCTTGCACATGATCATGGCTTTCAACCTGCAGTAACATTTGGAAGGGGAATCCTCCATGCTGTTGTCTTCAGCGAAGGCTTGAACGGGGATGGTCTGACTGTGGTTGCCAGAGTTCATAGCTGGGCTGGTGGGAATGGTGGTTACAGTCACAGAAAAGGACATGACGTTCCCCATGCTACTAGACAACTGATTGCATTCAGATAGCCCAGTCATAAGAGACCCTTGGTTCACGTCTGGGGAGGTGGAGACGTTTATTGTGCCGCTGTAACTGGGCCCAATGAGCTGTGCTGCAGCATTTCCAGATAGCTTTGGAGGGCGCGAAGGAGAAAGCAACGGAGGCTGCTGCTGCGCAGAGTCCGAGGACGGCACAGAAGTATTGAAAAGCTCCGGATTGCTGTGCATTTTCCCCCTCATTGCATGTGCCATTTGCTCTTGAGCGGCTTGAATAAAATCTCGTGCTAATGTAGTTCCGTCAAATGCCTGAACATTCTCCTTGTTGACTGCTGCTTGCTGAGATGCGACTGCTTCTGTCTTTACACCCTTTTTAGAAAGGGTGCTGTAATCGGAAGAATTTATGCTATGTGATACCAGTTCTTTTTCACACTGACCAGAAACCTGGGCAGCCTGGGGCTCCTCTTTTACACTGATATGTTCACGTTCATCACCAGTACTCTCATCATCTGCATCTCCTTCATCACTGCTGCTGCCGTGGCCAGCCACCTCCTCACATTCCCCAAATTCTGTTTTTGGAGCATCAGCAGGACTGTTCAGACACAAGCGGTTTTCAGGGTTCAGGGAGAAGCCTCTCCTCAAACTCTCTGAACCACGACCATAGGTGGAAATGTTGAGCAGATAATGACCAGACATAGCAGGCTTGGATGTCCTTCTGCCCATGAAACCCAGCATAAATCTCTGGCTGGTGGAGCTGTTTTCTAACTGGAAACCTGAGTGAGTGAGGTTCAGTTGTGAAGGCTGAAGGACTGGCAACAAATTCTGCCTCTGGACCCTCTTGATAAGAGTCTGAAGGATCTGCTCTTGGGTTGTTTTGCTGAGCGCCTCGTGGCACTGGTGCTGGTCAAGACTGGGGTCCTTTCCCGAGGGGAGCGGAAAGGTCCTTGGAATGTGAGGCTGAGGCCTGTTCTGGCAAAAGATCTTCCCAAGCTGTTGTGTGGGTAAACTCGATTGTCTTTCACCACCCTCGGCTCCAGTGCCGGTCCCTGCTCCACTTGTAGCACTGGATGCTGCCGCCGCCCCTTTTTCTTCATGAGGAGCTAATGGGACAGTTTTCATCTCTGCTTTGGTGAGGGGCTTCGGCAGGATTTGCTCCAGAGGGACATTCTTGCCTTGAAGAAGTTGAGTGACCAAAGGGTTGTTAGCAGGAATACTGGAGCTTGGTTTTGGGAGGGCCCCGCTTGAGCTTGAACTTGCGTGAGTTTTAAGGCTAGGTGCTACTGATGAAGTGTTAGAGGGTGGGACAGATGTGACCACACCTCCAGCCTGGGCTTCTGAGCTCGTGGATGTTGGCGAAGACATCAGAGGGGAAGGAGATTTGCTTTTTGAAACGCCTAAGCTGGTCCCTCCTAAGGCCGCAGGTGCTACCCTAGTTACATTTGTGGTGGTATCTGCTGCGGACACAGCGACGCAGGCTGTTCCATCCCTGACAGCTGGTGCCCCACAGGCCTGGCTTGGACCTGCTGGAGCAGAAGGTGCTTTCTCTTGTTTGTCACTGCTACCGGCATTCGGGGAGCCTGAAACCTGATTTACAGTCATACCGGGTGGGCTCTGTTTTATTCTGTTGATTTTCTCTAATGGCGATACCGCGGAGGAGGAGGAGCTGGTGCCTGTATTGCTGGCTGGAGTTCTGGATTGCAGTGTGGAAGTTTGCTGTAGTTGTGCTCTAGCAGGGTTGTGAGGTGGTGCCTGGTCCGTGGCCTGGGTCTCCATTTGGGTACGGGTCCCTGGACAATGGGGAAGAAACCTTCTCGAACTTCCCCCGCTTCCAGTTCCTGCCAGTTCCAGTGCATTTCCTCGAATTCCAGTTCCGTTGGCTCCGCTCGTTGCTGCG